AAATACCTTCAAGGTTTCAACGCGATCATCCAATCGACAATCACATTGGTCAGCTAGGTGATGGTGTTAAAACCAGAAGTCATAGTGGAGACGTCAATACATGTTTGTATTCTTGCTTCATTTCTCAAATCGAGCCCAAGAATGTAGAAATGGCTCTAAATGAACCTAGCTGGGTGGATGCAATGCATAAGGAACTGCATCAATTTGAAAAACTCGGTGTTTGGAAGTTAGTTGAGTTGCCAAAGGGCAAGAAGTCTCTTGACACACGATGGGTCTATCGCAACAAGCAGGATGATTCAGGGGTTATAATGCGAAATGAAGCTCGATTGGTAGTTTGTGGGTTTCGACAAGTTGAGGGTCTTGATTACACTGAAGTTTATGCTCCAGTGGCTCTCTTGGAGGCTATTTGTATCTTCCTAGCATATGCTTCCTACATGAACTTTAACGTTTATCAAATGGATGTCAAGACTGCCTTTTTGTATGGGAATGTGAAGGAAGAAATCTACGTTGATCAACCCCCCCCCCCTCGGGTTTGTTGACTCGAAATATCCTAATCATGTCTACAAGTTGGACAAGGCGTTGTATGGGTTACATCAAGCTCCTAGAGTGTGGTATGCGACCCTAACAAAGCACTTGCTCGAACATGGTTACTCTCGTGGCACTATCGATCAGACTTTATTCATAAAGCACATTGACATGGACAAGATACTCGTACAAATATATGTTATTGATATCATCTTTAGATCAACCAGTCAGCAGCTTTGCAAGAGTTCGAAGGTGTAATGAAGAAACGGTTCGAAATGAGTTCGCTGGGAGAAATGACCATGTTTTTGGGGCTTCAGGTTAAACAGAATTCAACTGGAATCCTGCTACATCAAGCCAAGTATGTGGAGGATATTCTTGAGAAGTTCGAGTTTCGCGATGCTAAGCCTTCCACAACACCAATGGCTGAAAGACCTCTTCAGACTCCAGATCCTGAAGGCAAATCCGTAGATCAGACTCTCTATCGATCGATGATCGGATCGTTGATGTATCTTACTGCAAGCCAATCGGATATCATGTTTTCAGTTTTTCAATGCGCACGCTATCAGGATAATCCTAAACTCTCTCATCTCATTGTTGTCAAAAGAATTTTTCGGTATATCAAAGGAAACGCTAAATTGGGTCTTTGGTATCTAAAGAATTCTGAATTTGATCTTTATGCTTTTACTGACAGTAACTATGGAGGCTGTGAGCTTGATAGGAAATCAACCTCAGGAGGATGTCAGTACCTAGGTGACAGGCTAGTTTCCTGGCAATGCAAGAAGTAACACACTGTCTCGACTTCCACAGCAGAGGCGGAATACGTTGCTGGATCAGCTTGCTGCTCTCAAGTTATCTGGATCCAACATCAGCTGTTGGACTACGGTTTGAATTATTTTGAAACCCCCATCTATTGTGATAATGAAGCGGCAATTCAAATTGCTAAAAACCCAGTCTAACACTCTAAAACCAAGCACATCGACATTAAAATTCACTTTATCAGAGACTGGTATGAACGATCACTAATCCGGCTGGAACAGGTCCACACTAATAATAATGTGGCGGAATTATTCACATAGCCTTTTAACAAAGCTCGATTCGATGTGCTTGTAGGTTTTCTGAAAATAATACGCTTTGAGGATTAAGTTTTTTTTTTCTTCAACAAATATTTTTATTTTTTATTTTTCATTATTTATTTTTCTTTATTTTTTCTCTTTGGTTTCTTGTTTTTTTTAGGATAGATTAAATTTGCGCATTGTGTTTTATTTTTATTTTTATTCTCACGCATTCACAAATTTAGGGGGAGAAATAAACAAAAATCCAAAAACATTAAAAATTCAGAAAATTAAAAATTAAGTGTTGCTAATGGTCTTGCTTGTTGTTGAAGGACTGGGAAGTGATATTATCAAGTTATAACAGGCAACCTGAGTCTGCGTAACGTACCCAAAGTTGAAGGGTCTTTGCTCTGACTTGATGCATCGGTAGGCACGAAAGATTTTAAATGGACTTGACTAGACAGAGTTGAACTCAGGAAATTTATAGACTTGACAAATTTTGACCTAGTTAGATCCGTTCAGCCTGAAAATACGATGCTCGGATAGGTTGAGCAGGGAGATATATATGAAAATCTACCCGTCACATTAATTGAACCCGTACTTGAAACTTTGGTTTAACTTTTCCTCGATGTGCGGATTTTGTCCTTAATTCTGGTTGGATGGGGCGACTGGTAAATTCCGATAAATTAGGTCTGTAGAAAATTGTTTTCTTTCTTTCTATATGTTAGTCATATGTTGTCTCCTTTGCGTGACCTCAAATCCGACCTGGTACACAACATATGCAACTCTATTTCTCTGCAAGTGTGTGTGTGTGTGTGTATATATATATATATATATATATATATATATATATATATATATATGAAATTCTTCTTATCTGTTAGCCATATCTTGTCTCCTCTGCGTGACTTCTAATCCGACCTGGTACACAGCATATGCAACCTTCTTCTTCTCAAACCCTCTGAAAGTATTAAGTAATAGAATTCTGAATCTATCCTCTCTCTGAATGGTTGTCTGCTCACCCGATGTAAGGAGTACTTTGGAAGTTCTTGATGGCTGGGGCATATCAGGAAGCAGGAAACACGTTCCAGTACATTTAAATTTGAACTCATACAGATTGTCTATAGATCTCGCTGCTCAATTTAGGTGGACAACAATATCCTCGGGCGTCGTCAGATTAATGGTCCTTAAGATATAGTATCTAAGGAATTAGGATCAGATATAAATTTTAGGATTTTAAGTTCACCCTGTCTTGTAACAAGTAGTATGTCCTAAATTTCTCATAATTTTTCGTGTTTAAGTGGACCACAATACCGACGACCGACCAGACAAAGATGTGAATATGAAAGGTACCGACAAGTGGATAAAGATTATCTAATAACTTTGATCCCAGCATCACAAAAATGAGTTATAATAGTTAAGTCTTTGTTTTGTCAAATTATTTTAATTTGATTTTTATTTTTTATTTTATTTTTATTACGTATTTTTATTTTTATTTTTTATTTCTCATCTCTATTTTATTTTATTTTTAATGTTAATTTTATTTTTTAATTTAATTCTTCTTTCCACAATTAAATTTTTAGATTGTTTAAAGTCTTGTAATTTTTATTTGGGTTGAAATATTTTAAATAATAATCCTCAAAAGTTTTTTTTTTAAAATGTGTTGGAATTTGCCAAATACTGGGTAATTATTAGCAAAAAAGGGTAATTGAGGGTAAAAATGGTGTTCACTGCTAGAATCTCCTCATTCACGAGATTCCGGCCGCAAACCATCTTCCAAACTCTCTCAACCCTCAAAAAATTTCGTTCGTGTTTTTGAAAATCCGCTTCAACCATCTCGTAGGTAATAAGTTCTGGAACACAAATATGTATTTTATTGTGTTATTCACTGCGTAAATTGATCGGAAATCGAGAAAACAGGTCCGACTGAGCTTACGGCCATAAGCTTGGGCTGTAAACTCCGTTTAAACTTCAATTCGGTGGTATTTTTTTGCGATTAATCCATTCATATGCATTTGTTAAAGTATTATTTGTCAATTAGGTGTATTGGTGTGATTTTTGTGAGTTTTTCCGAAAAATAGTTCATAGGCCGTAAACTCCTCTTAGGCCGTGAACTCGGAGTTTACGGCCCGAGAACCTTCAGTTTACTACCCTCGAAAATTGGTTTAAATCAATGTGTTATTTTCGGTGCAATGTGTTTGCCGTAATTCTTAGGCCGTAAACTTCGAGTTTACTGCTCAAGAACAAAAATAGTTTATTTCCTTTAAAAAAATTAAATTAATTAGGTACCTGTTGCTTCTTTTCGGCCGTAAACTCATCTTTTCAAATAAATTTTTCCAAGAAAATTTTGTTTTGATCATATTTTTAACCAAAATATTTTTGGGTCAAAATAAAATTTTACTTTATATTTTAAATCATTTTTCTTACAGTTTGTGGTTGAGTGCAGAAAAATGGCAAATTTGAAGTTTGCAGACATGCACAATCTCGCCATCGTGCTTGTAGATCCTCTGGCGATTCACTCAGACATGCACTCAATGATTCACCGATTGCGGCAATGTTGTTTAGCATCTGCCATCACTGTAAACCCGGTCGTGTATCAGAATCTGATTAGAGGATTTTGGGCGACCGCTAGAACAAACGTGGATGACGATGGTAACTTCACGGTGAAAGCTAAGGTTCAAGAACGTGAGATCGTGATCAATGAAGGTTTCATTCGAGAGGCTCTGCTTATTGATGATCAGCCTATTTTCCCGACCGAAATTGGGATTGAATATACTCAACGAATTCTTCGCAGAATGAGCTATGAAGGAACATCTCCACCAACACTGAAAAAGTTACTGCATCCGTATTGGAGGTTCCTGGCGCACGTGTTCGTTAGTTGCGTTTCGGGTAGAAGGTCAGGAGCGGATGACATTTCTCAACACAGAACTAGTGCTCTCGTCTCTCTTGTTGCTGGTGTGAGGTTCAATTTTTCTAAATTCATCTTGGATGAGTTCGTCAGCAACATTAGAGCCTCCACCCGGGACACCTTCCTCTTATATCCTCGTTTTATTCAGATGTTTATCAATATTCAGCTTCTAGATGTGAGAATGGAAGGAGAAACTCTCGACATGAAGTCTTTGGGTCCTTACACCGTGGGACTCATTAAGCAAAATCGCAGATGCAAAGTTGTTTTTCAGGGGTTATATCCACTAGAAAAATTCGGAAAGTTCACAGAGTTAGATGAACCCACAGAGTCATATGGTTCGTCTGAACAAACCTCGTCTGAGCCGACGTCTGCGGAAAAGTAAGTAGTCTCCAAACAATGTTGTCATTGATGTTTCTAAAGATGAGGGAACTAAGAAAGAAGATACACCAACTCCTGGCGATCAAATAGTTTCAGAACATGAAAAGGAGTTAGGTCATATTCAAGATAATGTGGAAATGAATGTTGATATGGGAGAGACTGTTGGGGATGACAGGAATGACTCTTTTAGTGATCTTGACCTCTCAGGTTTCGATCATGATGATATTGATGTTTCCTTAGCTAGAAGTGAAAATGTAGTGTCACATGAGAACCTTGATAGCATTTTCAACAATGTCGATGACGTTGTTCCTCCAACAACTGAGACTACAAAGTCAAGTGAAACTTTTGAAACTGAGACTCCAACATCAGGGAAAATGGTGACTGCTTCAATTCATATGGAGATAGTTATAGGATGTTCCCCTCCTGTATCTGTTTCTCCTACTACTGAACCGTTTGCGAGTGTCTTTACTCTAGAGTCTGACCAACCTCCGTCTAAGAGGGAAAGAAGAGATGTGAGACAATCCGAGCTGATAGCAAGTTTAATTAGAGGCTTTCCATCACCACCTGTTACTGCTGCTACCACCAGACTTACAACAACTAAGATGTTTCCAACAAGTTTAAGCTCGGCGTTTAATGTCGGAGGTCCCTCTGTTCCACCTGGCTTTACAATTCCAAGATATAATCGTGATGATGCATCTGAGAGGTTGGCTTTGCACATGGCTGAAGAACAACTTCTAACGCCAAATCCTCTAGGAAAGGCTATTTCTATTGAAGAAGGTGGTTATAGGGGTGATAATTTAACCCTTTCTGGTTTGCAAAAGGAAATTTCAGTTCTAAGCCAAAAGAATATTGAGTTGGACATTCAAGTGACGGAACTTCGTGCTGAAAATGCCAAGCTTACTAGTCAAGTCTCCGAGTTGCAATTTGATAAATCAAGTCTTCGAGTGAAAGTGGCTGAACTCACAAAAGATAAAAAGTTGAAGTCCAAGCAGATCTCTGACTTACAAGATCATTTCAACCTGCTAACTTCAAGATATTTTGAACTGAAGAAGTACCTCGAGGAAGACCTTGGGGACAAGTATCAAACATCTGTTGAAGAACGAAGGATCAATCTTCATGTGCAAGCTTTTCCAGTTGATTTGCCTGTCGGTCAATCATCTGGTACTGCTAGTTGTGGTAATGATGCACCACCTCTAGCTCCACATGTAACAGAAACCATACGTCGTGATCAAGATGAAAAAGTGAAGAAAGGGCAATTGTTGTTCAAGAGGAACCCTAACCTAAATGCTTCTTGGGATGAACCATTAATCACAATGACAGATCTTGAAGTGGTTCGGTTCCGAGATACTTTCGGGGATCGATCGGGAGTTGCTTCTTGGGGATTTCATGATCCCCTAAAGATGTGGATTGTGATACGCAAAAGTGGTAACTTTGAGTTGTACAGAGATAGACATGATTTTAGTTCATTCACGAGGGTTGACTTAACAGAGTTGTCTCGAGCTCCCTTCATAAAACTAAGGAACAATCCACAAGTAACTCAATTCAAGCATTTCCTGGATGATCAAGTCAAAGAGGGGTTTCCTTCCATGTCGACTGCAGAATCTGTGATTTTTAAACATCCATATGTTTTGGATCGCTCTACCGACAAGCCATTTCAAGTAGTAATGTGGCCCGCAACAAAATAGGTTAAACAGTTTCTGGTGCTTCAAGTTTATCAGGATGGGTCTCTTGGTTCGTTGGAGTGTTGGGTCTTTGATGAAATTACTTCTTGTGCAGTCCTTAAACTCAAAAATGGATGCATCAGACTCTATGATCGAAGAGACCTATTGAAATTCCGGAAGTGGGATATTCATTATCTTAGCAACTTTCAAATCAAGGTTATTGAAGATGTATATGAAGACGGTGCGAAAGCGTATACGATGATGGTTGCAGAAATTTAGCACAAACGCATGTGGAACGGAGTTGTGGGGCAAATGGATGTTATGATAGTCAACAAAGGATGAACTTCGGCTAGTACAAACCAAGGGGGAGATTGAAGGGCTTAGAATAATGGTTTGGTCTAGGTTTTGCAGTTAGTAATAGGGGTATGTTTGTAATTAACTTTAATTGTCAGTTTACGGTTGTAACTGAGTTTACGGCCGTAAACTCCTCACGATCTCAGGTGTCTATATATATATATATATATATATATATATATATATATATATATATATAGGGTTGTGTCAGACGTATTGGTTGTTGATGCCTTTTATGTTCACGGTTCCCACCAAGTTGTATCAGACGTTTAAAGCTATAAAACGTATGCAAGCTTGGTTTGTTACATCTTTGCTTATTCTTTCGTTTTGTGTGATTGTTTTTTGCTTTTGATCTCTGGTAAGATCCGATTTTGGACCTTACAGTAAATGGTATAACGGACCCCATAGAGGTAATCTATCCAAATCTTGAGGGCAAACACCACTTCCCCTAGCTCTAAATCATGTGTAGGATAGTTAGCCTCATGAGGCTTCAACTGTCTCGAGGCGTAAGCTATCACACGGCCTCGCTGCATCAACACTGCTCCAATACCTGTGATTGATGCATCGCAGTAGACTACAAAATCGTCTACTCCCTCTGGTAGGGTAAGAATCGATGCCTCGCACAATTTCTGCCTGAGGGTCTCGAATGTTGGCTGCTGCTTAGGCCCCCAACGAAACACCATCGACTTCCTAGTTAGTCGGGTGAGCGGTACAACTATTTTGGAGAAATCCTGGATGAATCTCCTATAGTACCCTGCTAAACCTAGGAAGCTCCTAATCTCATATGGAGATCTCGGGACTTCCCACTACATTACGGCCTCTATCTTGGCCGGATCTACCAAAATACCCTTCTGGTTGATGAGATGTCCAAGGAACTGCACCTCGCACAACCAGAACTCGCACTTGGAGAACTTTGGGTACAGTCTCTCCCTCCTCAAGATCTCTAGCACCTATCTCAGGTGCTCCTCATGGTGCTCCTAAGTCTTGGAATACACCAAGATATCATCTATGAATACTATCACAGACCGATCCAACATCAGCCTGCACACGCGGTTCATGAGATCCATGAACGCGGCTGGAGCATTGGTGAGCCCAAACGGCATCACCACAAACTCATAATGACCATATCGGGTCCTGAAAGCAGTCTTCTGCACATCCTCGCCTCTGACTCGCATATGATGATACCTGAAGCGTAAATTGACCTTGGAAAACTAAGATGCTCCCTACAGCTGATCAAACAAATCATCCATCCTTGGAAGTGGGTAACGGTTCTTCACCGTTACCTTATTTAGCCCCCGGTAATCTATACACATACGGTGCGACCCGTCCTTTCTCTTCACAAACAAAATCAGTGCACCCCAAGGCGAAATGCTCGGCCTGATAAAACCTTTGTCTAGCAGCACTTGTAGCTGCGTAGATAACTCATGTATCTCTGGGGGAGCCAATCGATACGGTTCTTTGGCTATCGGAGCCGCACCAGGAATCAGGTCAATCCTAAACTCGACCTGCCTCTCGGGAGGTATTCCAGGCAATTCCTCTGGAAATACATCCGGGTAGTCTCGCACTACCGGAATATCCTCAACCGTCATCCTGCCCTTCTCCCAAGCATCTATAACATAGGCAACATAACCAACGCAACCCTGCTGGAAATAGCGCCTCTCCCTCGTCGCTGAACACAAAACTGGTCCACGCTGTGGTCTCTCACCCTGATTCACTAACTCTCCCCCACTGGAAGTCGAACCCTCACCAACTGCAGCTCACAATCTATCACCGCCCCATTGGGGCTCAGCCAATCCATGCCCACTATAACTTTATTGATGGGTTTTAGTCATAAGAACCTCCTATGTGCTCATACAAACCCTAATGCTAGGATCTAGGTTTCACTATTGTACATGCAATTTGTCCAAGACTATAAACCCTAATTCTAGCATATGATAATCGATATTAACATATTAATGGGTTTAAGATATTACCTTGATTGTTATATAGCAATAACAATCACAATTCCTTGTTGTAATGACTTTAGAAAGCTTAGAGTCACAAATGTCACTCCTCTAATGGTTCACAAACACCAAGAGCAAGAGGATGAAGAGGAGAAGAGAAGGAGGCTGCCCAAAACCGTCCAAAACCCTAGAAGGAAGCTTGTCCACGTTTTTGGGGCTTAAGGGTGCTATTTATACATGTAGGCTATTAGGGTTTTAAACTAGGAAACCCTAATCTGACTGCTTAAGCCCTAAGCAGCCCATATATTCCTTTCTTAAAGACCTTGGACGATTTCTTATGGGTTTCCCCATAGAATTCGTCCAACCTTATAATATAAGGTAATCCATAGTCCAATTGCAATTATCTTATAATTACAATTCCAGTCCCTTAAGTTTAATTAATCTCTTTTAGCCACAAAATTAATTATCAATTAATTCTTGACTAATATTAATTAAACAATATGATTTCTCTTTTAATATATTATTCCCATAATATATTAATAAATCATATTTAATCCTTTCTCTCTATAACTCATCCTATCAAGTTGCTTTGGTGAAGGCAACCCAAAAGGACCATGTGTTGGGTTATGAGCATTCTAACACTCCTAAGTGTACATGCAACCCTAAATACCTTGGATCTATGTTTTCTCTATTATACATGCAAATATGAACATCCAAGGTATTGTTCTAAACTAGCATACAAAACTATCAATATAACAAGATATAATACATACCTCTTTGATGGTGCTTGTCTTCATGAAGCTTGAGTGCCTAGTGCCCCAAGTGTGACACCTCAAATGGTTCACAATCATCAAAGCACTTAGAATAACTTAGAGAGAATTCTACACTTCATGAAAATCGGCTAGCCCTTTCTTGAATAATACTAGTCTCTCTAGTGGCCGATTTTCCTCAAGAATAAGATGCTTACATAGTTATACAATTAGGGTAAACTCTAATTGTCATGACTTTCCATTTCCATGGATCCATGGGTTCAAATATACCATGGAGCATCCATGGAGCATCATATGGGTTTTGGCCCAACTAGATAATCCATGGAGCATTAGCCCACTATACAAGTATGGATGATTTACACAATCAACCCATATATTTAATTAGTCTTCTTTTGATCACTTAATTAATCCTAGATTAATTCTTGATCAATACTAATTTAATAATCTTATTATTCTTATTATTAATATACTAGAACTTATAATATATTAATAACCATAAGTGTCTTATTTCTCTCATTATAGTCTATCCAAATACATGATGGTATGCAACCCAAATGGACCATACCGGGTCGGGTCAAGTCTTACCAATTATAGTTATGGACTTAGACATTAATCCAACACCATGCACCATCGGGTCAAGTACATACCAAAATAGTTATGGACTTAGACACTAATCCAACAGTCTCCCACTTGGATAAGTCTAATAACTATTCTGCGTATGACTTCAGATCCTGATCTGCAATCGTAGCTTTCCAAAGCCGTTGTCAACTCTGATCCTATCAGATACGCGTGTCCTTTAGATAAGGGATCATATATTCATCCATTCTAGATATCGTATAAGACATGATTTCAAATCATTCTTTCTGTACTATTTCTCGATTTCCGATTTATGACGACTGACTAATTAGACAAATCAAATTAGCCCTAGCCCGGCTGAGCATTTACGTTTGTCATCACTAAATCATCGAGGGGCCCAAAGATATTGCTTTTATCATACTTTGGATAAAAGGAACGGATAAACTTTGACTCAATGTTCACTTGCACTCACTCACCGTATTACACACAACAATATGTTTTATGACACCAAGTTACGAGTGCGTTTACATATCATCAATGTGCAACCGACTCGCAAGATACAACTCACACATCTCGGTTTCAAGAATATAAGATGTTATCGTCTCACCAATCACTCGTGATAAAATCCATGAAGTGATCCAAGTGAGGGTGGGTTTAATCCAATGCTCAAATCATATTCATAAGCACTCATGAACGTTGCAACAAACATTTTCTTATGTCTAATACTCTTTTAGACAATCCACACACCAATTCATGACAGTCTTCATTCATACCTACTTCCAACATATGAACGACTGTGACCCGTTTGAATAATTTGACTGTTCTTAACCAATTAAATTATTCAAGAAGTCAAAACATGCAAAGTGAAAAACAAGAATAATACTAATCCCATATGGCCTCAACCTTTGAGTATAAATAAAACCCCTTTTATTTATCACCATATCGATTACTCATTATTTGTTGTTTCGGGTAATCAACTTCTTAATTGAATTATTACACTTGTCCCATGCTCTAATCATGCACACAATGTTTACCTATCGTTCTTACTTTGTGAAATGGATCAAATGAACACATTTCCAATCATACTCATTTCACAACTCCTAATCCTTTCCGCAAGTGATAGAATATTAAATTTTTGCCACTTATAGAATATGTTAGATTATAATATTTTATGCAATGATCCTTTTATAATATCACTGCACTAAAGTCATAATGACCATTGCCAATGAAATTACAAAGTCCTCTATCGGATATTATTACAAGACAATTCTATAGATGTGATGTCTCTCACTCAAAGTACATTTCTTTGAACATCCATTTGCATAAAGTTTCTAATCTAGACATAGATTCTCAATATCTAACTCCCAATATGGAAACCTTTCCATACTTACCATATGACAACTTATTCTTAATAGAATCTTATCTATTCATAATAATTGTTGATATACTCCATCCAATATCATACTTCCAACTACTCACAAGCGACCAATCCTCGGCGAACTTTGGATTGTCCTTTGATAGTTGTTTAATTATCTTAGTCAAAACCGATTCTTGTCATTTTTCCCTCTAAATGCGCTAGACATTTGGAAAATTTTTAGAATGGTCAAATATTATAGTATTTGCAATCGATCCTATACCTGAATCGTATGGGACATGATTCATAATGTCTTATAAAAGGATTTGATACTTTATCAATCTTCTGCCATAATATTTTACGTGCTACGTTCTCACAATTCGAATTATGAAGAGGAATGTCGTAATCATAATCGAAATTTAAGAACACACTATCTATCCTTGACTATATTATTAACATTCCACAACCTAAGCCTTTAGATTTGAAATGAAGCATAATATTCTCTCCCTTAATTATAGCAAAACAACTATTCAACTCTTACAACTTTGCAAAGTATGACTCTTGGTTTCTATAATTAATATTGCTAACTTGCAATACTTTCCATAATAATCATACAATCATAACATTTATGCTCCTACTATCATGATGATTATTATAAACATAACACTTATGCTCCCACTAGCTTTGACATGTATTCAGAAACCAACTTAAATTCCAGAAACACAATACTTATTGAATTTCTTAAGTTCATGTTTCTAATACCTAATGCTTTGATAATCCTTTATCTAAGCTTCCTAATCTCATACACTTTTATCCAAGATAGCTCATATGTGTCTTAAACAATTAAGAGTAATTGCCAAATCTCACAATTTGAATCATGGAAAGGGATACCGTAACCATAATCGAATTCGAGAATACAATTTTTCAATTGCTATCTTCTTAAAATCTCTCTTAGTGAAAGCATTTCCTCATAGTCATATTCATGAAGGAGGGAATCTTATGGCACTTAGATTTTAATGGTGTATGTGTTTGTATCCATGTGAATTTTTCAAAACTAAGATTTGTGACAAATTCAAAACCATATGGATTGAACTTTCTTAATCTTGATTTCTTGCCTAATGGTAGCACGGCTTCCCACCATGTCTTCCAAGTAGTCAACCATCTCACCTGTTCCTATCAATGTACCTTTCATTGATCAAGGTCCTTGCCTTTTATGCATTCAAATTAGAACTCATAGAACTCACATGCATAATTAACCCAATTGGAATGGCAGAGAAACAAAATAACGTCAACACGATAGGTTATAAACCTCAAGTCGTGTGCTAGTGATGATCAATAAGGTCTAATTTGATTTGTTCTTGAAACCTTTCAAGACCATTAAGACTCCCACGGACTCCTTGACATATAAGATTCTCTTGTCAATAAACATTTCTTGACAAACAACTATTCAAGAGTTAGTGTAGTTTGTATCAAAACACTTCATAAATAGGTCCTAGTTGGTCTTTGTCTTATCCAAGACATCACAACTTTCCTCATTTGATGAATGTTATAAACCTTTTTATTACTCAATGTCACAATCTTAACTCTAAGACTTGTTTTGGAACGAAGTATGATTAACTTCTTGATATAACCATTTCTTCAATTCTTGATTCCTCTTCTTAGACATACAATTATACTAAGACTCACTTAGAGGATCAATTGAGATATGCTTCTTAATCATTAAGACCTATCATAAAGCGTAAAAGGCACTCTCCCTTCTTCTTAGAATGGAGAAACTTTTAACTTTCTGTCTACTTGATTCTTTTTATTCGTTTTGCTTATTGATTTAAACTTTTATAATCAATTCGGAATTACATTTAATCTTATAAGTGTAATCATATTTGCTAAACTTTTAGTAAATCATGATGAATATCATTGTTACTCTTGTGGTGGACTTGATCAACACATAACCTTGTGTACTTGATCTCCTAATCCTTCACTTGACACTTTGTCAACGAATTAGTCTAATTTCCAAATTTGAAAGTTTATTCATTCATCATACAATTCTTGTTGTATGATTCCAAATCTCTATCCAATTGAAACTTGGGTGATAAGAAACTTTCCTTATTTGGTAAATTCTTGACATTTCCACAAACAACATAATTAAGAATCACATCCATTTGTTGTAAATATACGAACATCAATTTTTCATAACGATTTCATTGCAAGGAAATAAATAAACACGTCAAACAAAATTTATTTTATTTATAAAAGCAGCGAAAAACATTTGTCCTTACAATGCAAAATCAACTAAAAAACTATGTAATAAATATTCCTAACAACTCTATCTAAGCTCAAAATCTAATCTTTGAATCTATGCGATCGAGATCCATTTCTTCGTGATTAGACTCATCTTGCTCTATTTCATCAAGCTTCCTCTCTTTTCATCGATTCTGCAAAACATCCAAATGCAATCTTATCACATTATGTATCAACGAATAGGAACTTAATCGAGTTAGATAGTGGACTTTACCTGAAGCACAACCATACTCATTGACTCTCCCATCTTCTGGACTCTTCAGGCTCTTAGGGCAGACTTGTATCCAACGCCCTTTCTCTTAGCAGCAAACGTAGGTCGGTTCTCCCAGAACGTCCTCAGAAGCATGGTTGGTTGACTTTCCCAACAAATACGCTCCATTGCTTTGCCAAATCATTTCTGATTCAGCAGCAATGACCATGTAAGTTAGGTCAATGAGGCTTTCATCATGATCCGTCACATAATACTTTCTTTTGAACTCATTATATGATTCGGGAAGTGACTCCAGAACCCAGTTCACAGCCAACTTATCCGAGAATGACACACCCAACATTTTCAACCTATCGATGTGTGATTTTCATTCCTAGAATGTGAGCACACACGGGTTTACCATCTTCATGTTTCATTTCCAATAGGGCTTTAGTGACATTGAACCTTTAAATTCTTCGATCTTGTGGGTTAGGGAGAACTTCGGGAGGAGGAGGAGGAAGTGAAGCATGATTTCTTGTTCCTCGATCGAATCGCAGAATATCATCTTCATGTGGAATGCTTGTTCCACGGGATTTGGGAAGACCATAGTTGTCGAACTTTGACATCTACAAAACGGGAGAAAACAAATTCAAGTTAGTTGATTGATTGAGTCCTTAGTAAATCACCCAAATGAGATACTAAGGCTAGGACCCAACACAATACGCTACAACCTAGAAAAGGGATGTCGTAATCTAGTTGCAGAATATTTGAAGGTAAGTGAATGACGATTCACTAATTTCCACCATGAAAAACGAAAAAAAAAAAAAATAAGTTCTAAATCTATGAAAACTCCTATATCCTTTGAGATTCATTGAACATTTCAATGGCATGTTTAAATCTCGATATGCCCCTCTAGTTTGTGACTAGGATGCCGAGGATCACAAAGCGGGTGTGAATAATCATGCAAACTTACATGGTGCCCTCACATGTTACGGTCACCTATTCGATGTGCCGGTAAACCACACATGCTCCACCGAACTATGACAAACATTGATTCACCCTTTTCTACCTTTTCTTAGAACCATTTAGTGTGTCGGTAAACCACACACGCTCCATTAACGTCTTTGCAAGGGCACAAAGTGTAATTTCATGGAATTGCATCAATTCACTTTTGCCTAAGTAACTAAGATTGGGAATTTGTAAAACATTTAGTTACTTTTGTACTTCATTATACTTATAATGTAAGGTTTTGTCCTATCCTACCCGTTCGGCTAACGACCCCCCACTAGTCAAGAGTGCGGTGGGTAAGAGTGGATACCCATTCAATCGTCATTTTATAGGCAATTTCCTTAAACACCCCTTATAGACTAGCTTCGTGAATGAGGCCTACTAACGGTAAGACACTACTAGAAAACAACCCTTTAATGACGCGCAAACAATGACACACGCTGATAGAGGACACGCATTTGTGCGTGTGGTAAAAAATAATGTCAGTTTTCTAAAATTTGAAGGATAGAGGGCACGCATTTTTTGCGCGCCCTAAATTTAGTGTCCAAAAAGAAAAACTCGGAGGGCACCAATAATAAAGAGAGTGTCGTGTAACTGTGTCATTTTATATATTTTTTTAGAAGGCGCGTTATCTGCCTGCGATGGTGGGAAATGAAATCCCAAAAAATTAAACACCCCGCCTGATCATCTCCTTCTTCTCCTTCTAAAAATCCTCTCCTAAAAAACCCTAATAATCCTATAAGCAGTTTCTCTCTCTCTCTCTCTCTCTTTCTCTCTCTCTCTCTCCTTTGGAATCAGATTCTTGAAAGATCAAAACCATAATCGTAGCCCTAACTACGACATGTCTTACCCACCGAGATCTTCAAATCAAAACGAAAGCAACGACCAACACAAAAAACATTGGCTATATGAAACTCTGTTCCATGGTTTGACTTAATGAAACTCTGTGAATTCCATGAGTTATCACTATGAAGTATGGAATGCAAAGATTGATTCTCCTTCTTAGTAGGTAGCAGGAGGTCTTTTATTTTCTTCTAAAATCCCGATTCTCTCATTTTTCTATCGACTTAGTACGTGCTAGGGTTTTTGGTGGTGATGGATCAGGTGTTCTTCACACCCCAAATCGAAAAAAACCCTAAATATGGTTTTACCCTTATCTTTTCTTCTCTTCCAGTTTTCTGATGTCTACCAACCCTTTACCCAAAACACACCGCATCAATTTCCCAATTGTCTTCCTTCTGTCATACTCCTCTTACAAATGGAAACTGATTCCAAAAGCAATTCATCTCTCTTGCGGGTTTATGTTGGTTCGGAGGCTGGGCTCAAGAAGCTTGATGAATACCTATTATCTCGCAGTTACATCACAGGGTAAGTTTCTTAACACTTTTTCTTTCAAAGGGATTGATTCAATCCTTCTTTACATCATGCAGATTTAAAATAATGTTAATTTTCCTCAGGTATCAAGCTTCAAAGGATGATCTCACTGTCCATGCAGCTTTCACAAAACCCCCATCACCACAGTATGTGAATGTATCTCGTTGGTTCACTCATATCGATGCCCTTTTAAGGATTTCATATGTTCTTAAAACCTTTATCTTTTTATTACCATTATTCCTTATCAACTACTTGTATTTGATGATTAATTTCCTTTTTCAGTGGTGTATCTGCTGAAGGCAGTGGTGTTGTTGTTGAGGGCTCGGCTTCTTTCCCAGAAGAAGCCATTGCAACTCCTCTTGTTGCTGATACAAAGGCATGTTTATTAACTTGTTTATATAAAATTTCAATTCTTTTTTGCAAAATATGTGACACGAAATATATGAATTTCAGGCTGCAGCTAATGAAGATGAGGATAGTGACGTGGATCTTTTTGGTGAGGAGACTGAGGAGGAAAAGAAGGTTGCTGAAGAACGTGCAGCTACAGTGAAAGCGTCTGGGAAAAAGAAAGAATGTAAGGCTAAATTTGTCTTTTCAATATTATGTTTCAAATGCAAAATTGACAGTGTTCTTGATTGCTTAATTAGCTGGGAAGTCTACGGTGTTGTTGGATGTCAAGCCTTGGGATGATGAAACTGACATGCAAAAGCTTGAGGAACCTGTTAGAAGTGTTTAAATGGAGGGCTTGATATGGGGTGCATGTATGTTGAATATTTTTCTTTTCTCTTAAAATCAACTTATGCCATGTTTAATTTCTGTAATTGGATAAATGATAAATTTAAAAAATATGTAAGAAAATGCAGGAAAGTTAGTGCCATTTGGATATGGTATTAAGAAGCTACAGATTATGATGACAATTGTGGATGATCTAGTGTCTATTGATACAATCATTGAAGAAAGGCTTACTGCAGAGCCAATTAATGAATATGTTCAGAGCTGTGATATTGTGGCCTTCAATAAGATATGTAAGTTCATTCATGCTAAAAAAAAATTATTGTTATTATTTTTTTTGGTTATTGATGATGGAATTGGATGTGTTGTAATTGCAGAATTCCTGCTTGATTTGGTGGGACAGAAGAAAGATGTAGGAGGATGGTTTTGTGGAGTTGTTATTTATGTAGTTTGCACTTGTGTTGATCATGAGGGATCGCTGTTGTTAGTGGTTCTATCAGTGTTGACCTTTTGCTATATATATGGTTATTTTTGTGTTGATCTTTGATTGTCTCCTAACATCATTTGCAAATCCAAAACAAATATCGTGGACCAGGTAATATATTTCTCATTTCTATTTATTACCAGATTTTAATTATTTCCATTTTTGCCCTTGTTTAACCTTCTTCTATAAACCAGGTTCCAGCTGATGGGGTTTTGTTGGTCACTCACTTTCAATTGATGAATCAAGTATGATTGGCGAGAGTAAAATTGTACCTTTTTATAAAATTCTGTTACCTTGTATTTTTTGTGATATCTTTTTTAGGGTATATAAAGCAACTTTTTACTTTTATAAATGTAATAGGTTCATAAAGATCATAAATCACCATTTTTAATGTCGGGGTGTAAGGTGGCATATGGAGCAATCAAAATTTTCACTGTTGCTGTATGTATTTAGCAACTAGTATTTACTTCATGTATTTTTATTAAGTTTCCTTTTTTACCCTTCTTCTAATTTGATGAATCTTTAGGTCACGATTGTTGTTGTTACGGTTCCAGAAGGACTTCCATTAGTTGTCACATTAACGTAAGTTGAACCTTTTCTTATAATTATTAATCCATTTCTTTTAAATTAGTTTTTGATTAATAAAATATAAATCATGTTGCTCATAATTATAGGCTGGCATACTCGATGGGATAAATGATGTCGGATAAAGCGTTGGTAAGTTTTATAATTTTGTTTACAATAAATCTCTTGGGGGCATTTTGGTAATTTTGGTAAGTTTTATAATTTTTTTGCGACTATTTAGTCCACATAAAACAACTTTGATGTTCATTATTCGTGATAAAACAAGGGTAAGTTATGTTGTGCAACATGTGTTTTTAAAGAATGAAGAAGTTGGATAACATTTGATGTAATTATCCTTTTGTTTCTGTATAGAACCCCCTTGAAAACTTAGAACCTGTTTTGAGGGAAGATATCCAGAAGATAATTATAGTTAATAGTTATTAACTACTTATTGTATTACTCCACAGTTAACATAATTGCAACACTTATAATGCTCTGTTCTTTTTCCCAGATTTGGGATTCTGTCCCTAAGCCAGAAGCCCACAAACATACTCCATTGAGTGACCTTTTTAATGTAGAAGTTGTTGCACTTTCCAGTTTTTCAGAGAAAGAAGAACAATTTAAGGAGCAGGCATGATAAAGATGACTTTTTTATAATACAAATTTGATTAAAATCAGTTTTAATTTGATGTGAAATAGGCTGATTTGGCAAAGTAGAGAGTTGATGAGTACATATATACTCAGATGATGCAGGAAACTGGTGGTCAGCAGTCCATGTAAGTTTCTTGATTTGTAACATCTTGTATTCAAGAAATAGCAATGTACTTTCCATAAAAAAAATTACAACTTATATTCTTTGAAAAATTTGCTAGATTGGTTAGTTTAAAAGTAGAATGTCCTAATAAGAATTAATTTTAAAAGTAGAACGAAAATAACAGGTGATTTGGTGTTGTGTTTACAGGGTTGATGAAAGCGAATAGCTCTGGAGTTAGAAGAGGAAAAGAAAGCTCAAGCTGAAAGAGATAAGATGCTTCAAATACAAGTGTTACATTCTTCATTTCAATTGTTAGTATGAAACACAGTAGATTAGATGAATTCAAATTTATATATTGTAAGAAATAGAATTGTATGACATTTTTTGTATATGGTATTTTATTTTTATTATGAGACATTAAATGCAAATTTAATTTAAAAAGTAACAAATATCTAAATATATTTTTTTAAACATTTAAATTTACGATACACAAAAATGTGTGTCATCTTCATTTATGACATGACCTTTCTTGACATGGGTTTTCTTCATATGTATTGCGTGTCATTAACACGCACGTCGTAAGGTTACGACACGCGAATGCATGTCGTCTTCCTTTATGACAGGGCCTTCCTTGATACGCATTGCGTGTCGTAAACGTGCGTCGTAATTGCGCGTCGTAAATGAGCATCGTAAATGCGCGTCGTCTATAGACGACGCGCAGAAGCGCGTCATCTCTCTTTATGACAGGGCCTTCATTGACGTGCATTTGCGCGTCGTCTGAGCCTTTTACGACGCGCAATGAGTGTCATAAAAGGCTGTTTTTCTAGTAGTCAGACTGACTTTTACTCATACATATATATATATATATATATATATATATATATATATATATATATATATATATATATATATAATGTTAGACTTTTAATGTTATATATAGTATAGGGTGTATTTTACACTTTTAAAATACTAGGTGGTCAAATTTAGTAATTATACTTTTAATTTAATTAAATTGTAAGCCAAAACTTTATGGATTTATTAAACCTCTTTTAATTATACACCTTAATTAATTAATAAAATCATAAGGGTGTGATTTGAACTTTTCAAAACGATACTAGGGTTTAAGAATTTAACATTTCTAAATTAACTTTTAATCAACATTTAAATTCAAAAACTTGAGGACAAGTTTTGAAACATTTCAAAACATTAGGGTTTAGAATTTAAATATACATCAAAATTAAACTTTTAATCAAAATTTAAATTCCAAAACTTGAGGGCAAGTTTTGAAACCTTTTCAAAACAATTGGGTTTCAACTATTTAAATTTCAAAACTAAACTTTTGAGTTTAAATTTAAACTGTAAAACCTAAAGGGGAAAATTGAAACTTTTCATTACACAAGGATCAAATAGCAAATAATATAACTTAAACAATTAATTTTATCATTATCTATATTTGACCTAATTTCAATTTCTTGCAAAATAAGTTACCCAATTAATACAAATAATCAACTTTAATCATATAAGGAACTTATTATCTAATCAATTGGTAATTATCTTGTGTTTTGGCAAGGATATTCATTAAGAAACAATAAAATTCGTATTTTATAGGTTTAAAACGAATATGGTAATTATCCTTAAGCAAAACAACAACAAAATCCGAAAATCCCTCTGTCTGACGCTCTAACTCGCCGAGTCACACTCTGGAACTCGCTGAGTAGGGATGACTCGCTGAGTTAGGTCGAACAGAAGGCCAGCAAACGATTTTCAGCAACATAAAGCATCAATACAATAGAAACCAATCTAGGCTCTGATACCACTGATGGGTTTTAGTCATAAGAACATCCTATGTTCTCATACAAACCCTAATGCTAGGATCTAGGTTTCTCTATTGTACATGCAATTTATCCAACACTATAAACCCTAATTCTAGCATATGATAATCGATATTAAGATATTAATAGGTTTAAGATATTACCTTGATTGTTATATAGCAATAACAATCACAATTCCTTCTTGTAATGACTTTAGAAAGCTTAGAGTCACAAATGTCACTCCTCTAATGGTTCACAAACACCAAGAGCAAGAGGATGAAGAGGAGAAGAGGAGGCTGCCCAAAACCATCCAAAACCCTATAAGGAAGCTTGTCCACGTTTTTGGGGCTTAAGGGTGCTATTTATACATGTAGGCTATTAGGGTTTTAAACTAGGAAACCCTAATCTGACTGCTTAAGCCCTAAGCAGCCCATGGATTCCTTTCTTAAAGACCTTGGACGATTTCTTATGGGTTTCCCCATAGAATTCGTCCAACCTTATAATATAAGGTAATCCATAGCCCAATTGCAATTATCTTATAATTACAATTCCAGTCCCTTAAGTTTAATTAATCTCTTTTATCCACAAAATTAATTATCAATTAATTCTTGACTAATATTAATTAAAAAATATGATTTCTCTTTTAATATATTATTCCCATAATATATTAATAAATCATATTTAATCCTTTCTCTCCATAATTCATCCTATCAAGTTGCTTTGGTGAAGGCAACCCAAAAGGACCATGCACCATCGGGTCAAGTACATACCAAAATAGTTATGGACTTAGACACTAATCCAACATTTATTCCCTCGCAAGGGAATAGGGACCAAGTCCACCAGAAACTGCTCATCGAACAACTATAGAGAACATCCTTTGTGTACTCTTGCCACCCAAAGGTCCTGTCGGCTGCTATCTCAACCTCAAGTGGACAATCTAGCTCCCTCGGAGCTCTACTAAATTTCTTGCTAAGCGCAAGTGAAACAAACGATTGGGTAGCCCCCGAATCGAACAATACTGTAGATGATATGTTGTTCATGGAGAACGAACCTATACAAAACATATAACCATAAGAAACAATCAATAATAAATGCAGAGGTAGGGAGAAAAATACATACCCGTCACCACGTCAGGAGTCACTCGCGCCTCCTCTGCTGTCAGCTGAAAAGCCCTACTCTTTGCCACTGGCGTCTCAGCTCAGCCCTGACGGCCATCTGTAATTCTCAAAGTAGCAGGAGCAGGTGCTGGCACCTTTCCTGCAGCAGCTAAACTCTAACACTGGGACTTTTTGTGTCCCCTCCAATTGCAATGAAAGCAAATCAGGTCTGATTCCGCAACGGCGGTAGTAGTGGCTATACAATCTCTGCTCATATGCCCAATCCAACTGTACTTGTAGCAGCCGACACTCCCTGCCTTGCACGCCCCATCGTGCAATCTCCCATAACTGCCACACCGAGCGTGGCTCTGCTGACTCCTAGCTCTGTGATCTGAACCCTTGGGCTTTTTGCCCGCACTCCCTATACCTGGAGCCACCTCCGGTCTCTCTTTCTCTCCATCTCAAGGTCAATCTCTCTCTCTCTATCTATCTCTTTGTCTCTCGAGCCATAGCAATCATGTCATCCAGCGTTTTATAGCTGGACCGGCTCACAAACTGGCGGATATCACTCCGCATCATCTCATGATAACGAGCCTTCTTCATTTCCTCATCAGCCGCATACTGAGGAACAAGAAGAGCCCTCTCCCTGAACTTGGCGGTAATCTCCGCCACTATCTCTGTAGTCTGGGTAAGATCCTAAAATTCT